TAAGAAACGAGATAGCAAAGGCCAAGTAAACATATTTTCATGCATGTTGGAAGAATCCCCATCGTGAACTGACGAATTTAAAATCTACTTCGATGAAGGGTTTGTGAGAAGACAAAATATCGCTAAGGCACGCGCTTAGTGGCGCATCACTTCCCGACGAAATGTCCACAGTCACTCATGAATTCCCGACTTAGTTACACCACCCAATGCACTCGGTGTTCCGTTGTCCATTTTTTTCTGTCTTCATGATCGGTGAGCGAATGGTTATACGATGAAGGCTGTTGCCACTGTGCAATCGCAATGAAATTCAATTCTCCGATAAATGTTAAGTGGTTCCGCCTGGCTACAAACTGCATTCTAGGCTCTCGACACGTGAAATTTCTGTGCAAAATCACGCAGTAAATCTGGCTTATTTGACCTGCGGTGTGCGGACATGCCGTAGTAATATTGTCCTCCCTTCCTTCATTTTCCACAGTAATGCAGTTCCACCGACCATACAAGTGGCACATTCGCCAATGTGTTACCCGCATGAAAACTACACTTTTGGAAACCGTAAGTCAAGATATCAGACTTCTAGGTTTTTCTGTTTTTTTCTAATATTTAACTGTTTTATCGGGTGGAGTGCGGTGGGTTTCGGGATTAATCACAAAGTGTCTACGGAGCATTCTGTGATAAGGTAGACCACAACGGGATGTTCATCAGCAAATCATGTTTCAAACAATGTGGGGCATTGTCATCGTTAGAAAGCCTGAATTTGAGCGTTGATACTGGCGGCCTGAACGAATATACTTGTTACAATTTCCCGCAATCAGGGGCGCATTTTAGGATAAAAGAATGGATATCAAATACGCACCCTTTTTGAGGATTTCCCCGTTTGCTGGTTCCTGAAAAAAAAGATGATGTACTCAAGATTAGATAAGAAACGACCTTTTGTTGTGTAGTCGTGGAGTTCATTCGGGTTGTGTTAGGTAATGCGGAGCCCCCAGATAGCAACAGGGGGAATACTGATGTTGCCTCCTGGCTGCGTACTCAGTCAGTGAAAACGAAGAGTGCACGACGTCAGCGACCTTCCATTTATTGTGCGCCGGTCGGACGAGTTTGAAATGAGAACATCCTAGGAGACGGCAGGTCATTGGGCGATTGGATTACCATTATTCTGGGAAGGATCGATAATCTAAGTCTAGTTGTTTAACGTTTGTTCCAAAAATGATATCAGGTTATCTTGCCGCACTTTCTTCAGACTCAGTGCACAAAAAAAGTGAAAGTGAATGTAAACCACTAAATTGAAACAAAGCCAGTTAACGAGAGGGAGTGAAGATAAGTCCCAGGACAGATAAGTCCCAGGATTACTCGTTTCAAAAATAATACATAAATGCAACCAAGCATACGTATTAGTACTGTCACCGAAAGAAGAAATTGTAAACAACACATTAAATGTTCGGTTGCTAAGTTTCTTAGCTAGTGAGTGACTTCGTAATGTTCAATCTTGATTCAGTCGCATTTGTTTATCTTTATCGATATTTCAGTAAGAGCATGGTCGTATTAGTTTACATAGGTATTGGGATAGAAGGAGAGTTGCTACACGGTGAACACCAGTGTGAACTGGTATTGTGAATAGGCTGGAAATAGGCCTTCGGGTTGGACAACTTCAAAGGAACGATCAACGGAGGCCGCGAAATAAAGGACCTGCCCAGAGTGAGAGGCAGTAATCCATTCAATACGCGAACCAATCAGTCACCTGGAGTTTTGCTTCAGTGAACTGTGTATTACTGCCTTATAGAAATAAAATTCCATCCGCGTTAGGCATGCACGCGCTCCCTTCTGAATTTCTCCTCAGTGTAGATCAGGTATGTCAAGATGTAGGGCCGCAATCCATACCTATTCGTAAATTGTTGCAGCTCCGAAGGAGAGATGGACGTCTAGCCAGTCCGGAGAACAACATTCATTTCGTCTGATATGAAGGATGGTTTGTGGTTACCGAAATGCTTCTCGTGACATTCATGTAAAATACCATGCATAATATTTTCTTAATTTCGACTGCAGAATTTGATCGCACATGTCGTGTGACCGAGCTCTGTCGTGGGATCATGCTCCCAACTCAGATGCCCTGTGTGTATTGCGCATGACGTAACTTTGTATGGCTCATCCAGGAACCAGCAAGTCCAACTGTGTTTGTAATGTTTTAAGCAAAATCGTATTTCGTTGAGCGAAAACCTGCAGATTTACACCTCGAAATTTGGAATGATTTTGAGATCTGCTACACTTTGTTTGGTTGCCTCACTCAATCTGCGCTTCAAGTTGCATTCAATTTTCACCTCACACAGCCACCAATGATATCGCCCTTCTCAAATTATCCACACCATTCGATCTCACGCGACCGAACATCAGTGCCGTGAATCTCCCCGCCACAAACAATTCCACGCTGCCAAACGTGAATGAATCGGGTGAAATGGTTGGATTTGGAATCTATTTGCATCCTGACAGAATTCCAACTACCGCTCAGTTAGCAACATTTAGAGTTGATACACACCAAAGATGTGCTCAAGTCCACGCAGCGTACAATCCGTTCAATCCTATTTACAACTTTTGCGTCGACGACGATGTAACAAGACGCTTGATGAAGGTTAGTTGATCGTAACTGTTTATTTGGTCAACTTAGTGTACACCAAACCTCATTTTATGAATACCGTTTTGATCATTCAAATAACAGACCCGGCCTGTTTTCCCAATCCACGTGGCGAATTGATGCCGCAAAATCATTTTTTGGAAAAACATCTTGAAAGTACGGTGACATAAGGAAACGGTCTATTGCTGGTTGTTTGGTTTTTCAGAAATCTAACACGCGTGTGTTTGATTACAAGTGACCAGAGAACGTTTGGTGCTCTGAACGAGATAGTCGCGTGACGTTAGCCTAGACCAGGCTATCCTAATCCTGACTGCGTGTGCTTTCACTGGCTTGATAATTAGCGTGCAAGATCGCATTCCTTCTAGCTTCCACTTCGGTATGCCTTTCGACACCAGAATAGTATGCATTACATTTTTATGAAGATTGTCTGGAATCTGCCTGGCCGAGGACTGTCCAGACAATAATCCTGCGATACGTAATTTAAGCTGCATTGCATATTTGCAGATCCATTCCACCTTGAATAGAGGTAACTAAAGGCGTAAACTACAACGACACCGTACAGATCTGTCTAATGCGGAGATTCATCGATAGGATGGAGTATTTTCTTTTGAATGTCGGTGATTTTTCGTCGGAGTATTAGCACACCTATAAAACGCCACCGACATTGCAAGAGTTTTGAATTTTGAATTTTCACCTGTTCATGGGGTTTCACATCCGTCGTTATAACACACTAGTTTCGATGACCAAATGAATAGTCGACAAGGAGGAAAGACGGTCAGGGGACTGCACTTGGCAATGAGAAAACTAAAGCTGAGAGGAATAATTCGGTCACAAGAATTCTATGATTTTTAATCCGCTCAGTTTGCCACATTTAAGCAAACGAAGTAACGGCATTCGTGATGGATAGCGAACGAAGTGGCACGATTCGTGTTGGGTGATGCAGTGTAAACTTGTATACTTGAAATGCCTTTTCACTCAAAATTTCAGGGCGACAGTGGAGCTGGATTCTTGAGAAATTACCCACAGAAAACCAACTGTGTTTGGCACGCTCAGTAGGGTTTGTCTTGACAACGACACATGCATTCCCTCAATTCTAGTCCGCGTGACATCAAAACTTGGTTGGATTCAGAATAAAGTTTTAACTATTCCGTGATGTTCACTGTTCTAAAGGGGTGATTGAATAAACTGATGCATACTCACTAATGTTGTTGTCTTTTCGGGACATGCGAATATACACAAGTCGGGATTGTGGTTGCCTCAGTTCTGGCCAGACAGTTATTGTTAGTCAATGTGTCTTAGCAGATAGATAGATAGGTGCATGGTACGGCGTTTGAAAAGTGTCGCTACAATCAGTCACGTGACTCGAATCAGCCAGGTGAGCTACGACTGCGCTAGTAATCGACTTCCGTAAGTTGGGTGTCAGCCCAAATGCATCATGCTTATTTATTCTCTTGCGTAAATATCGTGTCATGCAACTTATGTATTCTGACATATAGCGACGGGTGAAGTAATAATCTACCATGCTTTGCGCGTGAACCGGCAGCTTGGCTTCACAAAGTAGAGTCGTCAGTTGAGTGGTCGTCAAACGGATTTTCGATTTGTATGATGCAGACGCCGAATCAGATGGCCTCCGAGCGGGTTCACCATGAAACGAAAGATGGATGAAGACGTATTCCTCTTGGATCGAAAGATAGATACAGGGTACGGCGAATTGTCCTTTTACAAGGCGTTTACCGGAGTATCGACCGTTCAAGTGACCTATCATTTATTGTAGGTGGCTGGATTCCGGGATAGAAAAATCAGCGAAGTTTTCTTCTTGGAACGTAAACTGAATAACCTGATATAATGTACTAACACTTGTTAAGCTTTCCGGTGGATTGTAGGATTTATACGTGCAGGCGAATATACCGTCTACACATCACAGTTTGCTTGCAAACACTACACTACACTACACTTGTGTTGGTAAACACCATATCTGGACCACGGTTTCGGGGCCGAAATAAAGTGATCTATGATAATTTAATCGGTGTTCGTTCGATGAACTACCCGAAACGGGGTTCGAAGAGCTGACGCCTCGAAACGTCCATAGAAACTAATCGAAATATCCGCCGCAACTCATATTGGCAGATGATTTCACGGACGGGCCAGCGGATATGATCTTGGAAACGCCAGGTGGAACATCCGGGTATTATGTGGGGTGTCAGACAAATCCTACGTTATCCCGGTCGGTGATAACATAGACCAGTTTCACAGTTCACTACGTGCGACAAATTAAAATCATATGGCATGAGCGAAAATACAATCTTCGACCATTAGCTTTTCACATCATCAATCCATCCCACCAAAACAATTGTACGATATTGCTACACATACACACGTCCAAGTTCCAAAATCCACCTCGCGTACCGCTGGAGACCAAGATTCGTCAGGGGCACCTTGCACCGCATACGCCCTCAATGACAGAGAAGCACACCCGAACAGGAACCAGGCCGGCGGTTGCAAATGCGTATCCGGTAGTTCCGTGGGTGCGGGTTGCATTTCATCGCCTCGCGTTGCATTGCACATGTATATATAGAGAGGATGTGGGGATTGGCGTTCGTAGGCAACCAAGGACTAGCTGATCACGACAATCCCGATGATAGATCTACGTATGCTGGTGTTGGCCGTGCTGTTGGTCTCGGTTGCAGCTCGGCCTGGGCAGACCGAACGCATTCCGACGTATTTCGGATCGTGGGGCAAACTTGGTGTATGTTGATGAAGAACGTTTGTTGTGTCTCGTGTTACTCATGTGACCAGATTTCTTCAGTCGGTTGGGTTATTGTTCCGTAGGCTATTTTCTTGCTCATTTGGTTGCCTAGCCAGCTTGTTAGCCTGTTAGCTGGTTAGTCAGATAGTTAGCGAGTAACTAGGTGAGAGATTTAGTTAGCACGCCCTGTGGCCGGTTTTGAACTCCAGCGTTGCATTTGTGTGATCGAAATATATTTGTTACGTCTGCCTTCTGTTCCAGGGAAACTGTTGCCCTTGGACCACCACGGTACTTTGCTGTCCACCCGGTTGGCGTTGTGATATATCTCCGGATTTCTGTTTCCCACGTGCAAGTGAAAGCGAAGCCTCGGACCAGGTTGTTCCACTCAAATTTCCATTGGGACAGTAAACAATCGACCGACATTCGGACACACTTGTCCAGATATGTCTTCGATGAGACACGCTTGTTGATTGCGCTTGCCATAAACTCACATTTGATTCTTTTTTGCGCGAGTGTTCATCAGGTTGGCGTTTTCGCAATAAACCGCAGCTTATGATCCCAATGTTCGATTCATCTATTTCTGTTCTGTTCGATGACTGGGTGAGTGCTTGTGGCCAATACGACCATTTTGACTTTGAGATGGTTTCGTGCATTCGCAGTGTGTCAGCGAATATGTTGTGGAATGCTATTGGTCGCCGCACTCAGTATTTAAGGCGAAATTTTACGAGTTCTGTGACTTATTCCAGAAGGCTTTTAAGCCGGTTTCATAGTGGTCAGGCCTCAGATTACCTCGCTCTCCGAAGTTGTCGTTACTGTGGGCTTACACGGTTCACCTGATCAGTGGTCTCTCTTAGAGACAGAAGTTCAGATGTTTTTCACGCAATAATCTGTAGGGAGTCGTCCGTATACATTTAATCAGTCAGTGCGATATGTCTTGTGCCCGAATCCGGGAGAGGGCACATGCGTTCTCATGGTGTAGGTGTCCGATTCCCTGCATCTGTGATTTTATTGATTCCATCAGCATGTTTGTGCGACAAACCGAATTCGAATCGTGGTAGACTGCTTGAACTGAATGGAAGATGTGGAACGTTTCGTTGGTTGTGCCTCCGTTGAGCCTATGCAGTTTGTCCGCGTTTTTTCTTCATAATTATTGATAAATATGTTTAGGCCGGCTCAGTGATTCTGGATTTTGATATGAGGCACAAACTTGGTCGTTAATATAACATTTACCTTGTTGAAATGTGACTGCAAAAACCACATTTCCAAAGTTCACATGAGAAAACCTACGTCCTTTATAATAGTTTCAGCACTCAGTTGGGCCACGTTGACTTACGCGCGAAACCACATAAGTTAATACCTTACAATGGAGCCATTTCAACAAGTGCTCCTGGGTGAATAGAGCAATATGCAATACATATGAACAAACGACAAATTCTGCAATTTCGCCGGCTTCTTTTTACTCCGGTTCAGGAATTGCCATTTCCTAACGAGATCCCGAAGACATTCGTACACCAGGGAAGTTAGCCACAAGATACCAAGACCCACGTGTTGATTTAGACAACACGTGCGATGACAATTTTACAGAGCGGCTTACGTTCAGGCCCAACACGAGAAATACGGTGTAGACGCAAAACGGTAACAACAAAACGGGAAACGACCTCGTACACCATGAGAATTGAGGAATAGAATCAGCAACCCCACCCACCCAAAGCTACCGTGTATTCCCATGATTTGCCAACTCAATCCACCGTATGCAAGTATGAGATCAGATGCAGTCGTCATTAGCACTTGCCGAATACGGCCATTACTTCCGGGCCTGGGTTCCACTAGGATGCCTTTCTCACAATGCCCACCACCTGGATTTTCATCACTGAACAAGACCAGGTCTTCAGCTCGACTATTCTCTATCCACCTATGTCGCAACTGTAAAAGCCGAATCTACTCCCGAGTCCAGTGCTTCCCCAGTTTGGTGTGGACTCACCAGAATATTTACGCCAAGACAGTTGGACGCCTTTTCAAACGAGGATGATTTGAATATGATGATCTATGCCTTGATAAAGAGATCGGTTGTTCAACTGAATTTCGTGCATATGGTCAGGGCTAGTTTGATTTGGTCAGCATCGATTCGCTTGCGCTGGGTGATTCCGATTGCCAGTAACTGATGGATCATTGGGTATTGAAAATGCATACCGTGCATTCGTTTACTGATCCGATGGTTGTGCTGAAATCATCTGTGTTGCAGACTTTATGTTTTGTTTTACCACTCATTCCCCTATGAACCTGTATCCTGCCTACCTAAGCGTTTACAATGAGCGAATAATTCTGGTCACGTAAATGGCGGTTTATTCTTCAACCTGTAGTAATTCTGAGAACCTTTGAGCCGCTGCGTTGCACTTTTCCGTGATCGCTTCCGGCAATTTAGAATGTGTACCCCAGATATTGAACAAGATTTTATATTAACGAAGCTTGGATGTTAGCGGAACATCTTAAATATGCAAGAGTATCACCACCCCGATCATCCTGTTCACTTGTATTCCCCAAATCCATTGAGGGCATGGATACATTATGCAAGCGCAGCAGGCACTTTCTTATCGGACTCATTGCATTCTAATTGGCTGTATAACGAAGCATATAACAAATGAGGAAATCGTTAGTGTTTTATGCCAATTTGAAGCCGGATCTGAACCATTCTGCGAAACCCGGTTTCCGTAGTTTTGAAATTCTCGGAATGAAACCGCAGAAAATCATGTGCCTCGTCGAATGGTGACCCTGACCCTATATATTGTTTTCAAACGGCTTAGATGAAGCTCTTCGATTGTTTGGGAGCTCAAACCCCGTCGCGGCCGTTGGACAAGTGCGACATTTTGGTGTGGATTCACGAGAATAATTACGTCTGGTCACGGGGACCTCTCTTCAAACTAGGGTCATCATCCTCATCGACTGCATGACATCAGTGTTCAACACCGATGCTTCTCTGCCGTACACACGCGATTCAATTGAAAGCCTTATTGTAAAGAGAAGAATAAAGGTAGACAGAAGAGGGACTTAGTGCAGTTTTACTACAATCATCTTGAGGTACCTACACCTCCAGACACTCATTCAGGCGATCTGGATAGAAACTAACAACAAGAACCCTACAGACATCGTTTTGGCAGCCACATCTTGTACTCTCTCCAACCAGGTGCAGTGGGGATCACGCGGTCCCCATAATGGGAGACGGGTTGCACCGACATCACCCAAGCGTTTCCTAATCTCCTTCACACCCCTCTGCCAAATCAAACTTTGGTGACCTCTATGCGTACGCCACTCTCAGCTGAGCATGAAAACCAACACTCTCCTCGGCAAACGATGGTCAGGCGTACACACGCCCCAAACAACGCAGCTTCTGGTGCTTCACACATACTTCAAATGAAGTACCCGTTGCACAAACAAAGGCTCGCTTCCTAACTGCCTCGTTACGGATACGCCTACAGCAACCCTTGGTTCTGAAACAAAGATTTTCGAACACCTGATGACGTCACATTTTCGCTGCTCAGATAGGCCAAGCCTCACGGCCATACAACAAAATAACAAAAGCTCTGAGCATCGTTCTGCATTGTTACGATCTTCAAGACTCGGTGCTCCTCTGATGATTCAAATGATGTGACTAGAATTATCACATCATCACCACGCTTCCGTGCCATTTTTTAGGGTTTTCACTGGAATTTCCACAATATCAATACAGCTTCACGGTCAATCGGATTGTTTCTGCTCTATGCAGTACCTAAGGCTGCCTAAGAATTTGCGAACCGTTACGTGTTCCAAAGATTCAACCAATCATGACAGTCTCTCGCATGCTACTGACAAATTGATAACCTATTTCTCGCTTGACTAGCCATTTCATTTTCATGTTCTGTGAGCTAATTACTCATTTGAACACTACGACAGCTCGTGTGGAATAATCAGCTAACAGTCAAGAAAAGTTGGGATGTGGATGATTGTGATGAGTTTATTACTTTATTATTATTTTTATTATTATTATTATTTTCCAAATTCTATGGAATTTGGAAAAATACTTTTGGCAGTAGCAATCCGAATCTTCTTAAGATAGGATACCTCAGCCTCGTCCAATGACTGATCAACTCAATCGTAGGTGCAGTTTGCGCCTCAACCGTTTAGTTGGAACCTTAGGATTTTGTTGACCGAAAGCCACTTGGGCTGTTTGATATCCCATATCGAGTTAACCAGGTTAGAATTCCCGAATGTGGTACTGTGTTGCGCTCATTTTGTACCCGAGATTATCTTTCGCGGCTGTGAGGCAACTGAGCTTGTTGACTGCGCACATGCATGCTCAAGATGTCACCGGACTTCCAACTCACACACCTGTAGGGCATCGACGAAACATTTTCTGCATGCTGGAATAAGCGAGGGCTGATTGAAAGTGGTACGCCATTCTAGTCAAACAAATTAGTTACTAAATAAACGATGTGCCGTAAATGGAACTAAAGCTATCAAGACGCCTTAATGTGACCAAGTGAACGAATTTGTCTACCTCGGCCATCACAGCTCAGTTATTAATGAAAATGCGTATTGGCGAACTGTGAAACTACGCTTGCACAGCGGTTTCATGACGGAACTCGTTCAATTACTGGCCAGGTTGGACAAGTTACTCGAGGACCGAACAACTGAGTGTTTTCACCAAGCCATTGCACAGCGGAGCTCGAAAGTGTTCTAAATGTCATCTCGATCAGCTTGGAGGAATAGTCCGTGAGTACCGTGTAACGAAGATGCATGCATACCCAAGAGTGTGACTAAACATGTGCTTTGAACAGTGCGCATTCAGACAATGGGGCTCGTATAGTACGTCGACTGTTAGCACAGTAATTTCAAAACCAATCCGTCTATGCTGAAGCAATCTTGAAAGTTGAAGCTGGTCTCGCGAGTCTAGTGATTATTTCAACGTGAAATTCAACCACTGGAACGAACACCAACCTGCTAAATCTGCTTTCGTTACAATAATCTTGTAAGATTGCATAGCTGCATTGCACAGCTCACTCAGATTCAAATTTAGTTGTAGACGTATTCACGGACGTTAGAGAATCAGGCAAGTTGTTGTCAAGTCACTAATAAACTAGTCTTTGTAGGCCAGTAGATTAACCTGCGCTTTAGAACAGCCAGGCCATACCCTAACCACAAATAAGCAGATATGTTCAAATCAATAGTGTTGGACGGTGAACGAAATTCAACGGCCCTCGTACTATGCTAACTTGACTGATGAGCTCACTCCTTCTCACAGAATGGAGCATCAAATTATACACGATTTTATGTGCAACCTTCATGCAATATTTATTTCGAGAAAAAATCAGTCTTCATTTGGCATTCCCGCGTTCGGTGAAGGCGACAGATCAAATATTACAAGTTCACTTGTTGAAAATTCAGGACTGACAGAACCGTCCGCGTATTAGTCCCAGTTTGGTGCGACAACATGTCCAACAAACACGGGCACCGCAGAATCACACACGAGGGCGAAGAAGAACGGGTGATTGACAGAAATCGTCTCAGGCAATCGGGTACTAAAGTTCACAGTGAATAGTGTTGCGGCAGCCGCTGTCACTCCTTCCTCATCGAGCTGAATAAAGAAGGAAAATGAGAATGGAATTATGTTCTCCTATTGCACGTTTCTGAGTTTGTGAAACAGCAGGTGTTCAAAATATGCACGTGATGCACCGTCACTCGTTGGCCAACAATACATACCAAAGAGAATCAAGCCCCAGCATTAGTAGGTCAGTCGATCGGTAGCATACTGTCTCAAAGAAAATCATGGGTGTCAGGGCACAAGCAGAACTATAAATAAGTATCATATACAAAAGCACTTGGTTCATACACATATTCTGTTGTCTGAGAATTCCAGAGGCCCGACATATTGTTCACTTATGCAGACGAAGATACACATTGTGGAGAGCTTCTCCAAGTTACAATGTACTATACGTCCGCACCATGTGAAAGGGGCTTCTCAGCGGTTTTGATTACTCTTCCTCTGAACCGAAAAATGGCTCGTCATGCATTCGTTATCGAAATGAGATTTACTGTTCATATTTGGCCAAGCTGCGGAATAATACTCGGATCATTGTATTAAACTTGCCTCTAGCACGGCTTTGTGATAGGCATCGGTCACAGACAAGAACGACTGCGACAACCTGGAAAAGTCTGCACCCTCGAACAATTTCTTCATCCCACATTCATATAAAATCGGCTGCAAATCTATCATGGGTTGATGCGCGAGCTTGAATTTCGGTAGATACAAGTAAGCGTTTTCCATGTGGAACGAACGGGCTTCTCAGTGCGGAAGCCAATTGTCCTGGTGCTTGTAATCTGGAAAGAAGTTTCGGCAAACCAGTCCTTTCTTGTGGCAACAAAATCATCAGCGACCATTCACTCTGGGAACTGAAATAATCAAAAATGGGCGGAGATTCAGATCACTTTCAGTTGAACTGGCAAATAATGCGTGATTCAATAGGATTGCTAGTTAGGAATGATGGTTTTCGGTATCCTTCTGTGTACCAGACGATTCTCCAATACTGACTAGGCAGCTTCATACCGATGATGATCATCACTATTCAAAAGTGATGCTTCTCCTCTGCAACTCCGTAATTTTTATTTAAAAGCCATCCTGTGTTGAAAAGACGGAGATGCTTGGAGAAGGTATCTAGTGCTAGTCCATCGAAACAATTCTGGGGTACGCACATCTCCAGAAATACTAGCGATTGGATTGAGTACAGGAGAAAACAATTATATAAGAAAGAAAGAGCAAAGCGTCATCAGTAGACTGATTCCTCTAGTTGTCGTCCTTCTGGTTGCTCCGAGAGAGGTGATAACTTTGATGTCGCAGCGCAAGGTCCGATGTCGCATTTTAGGTTTTTTCCATTTTAGATTGTAATTGACTATAAGGGGCACCGATCTGCCGACGCAAGCATTGTAGCCTTTTGCCCAAGTACGAGTGCATTAATTGAAATTTCTTACAGCTTCGTGTGGGGCGACTTGGTTTCGAGGAATACATGGTAACCACAAAATGCACACTGCAGAGGCTGGCAATTCTTCGGGCGCCTGATGGTCGCCAGTATGAGCAACCTCAGGGAAATAGCGAACATCGCGGATAGCTAGGCGAAGCACTCGTCTGTAATACCAGAGGCGGAGATAGACAACAAATCCACCAACCCTCTTATGAGGTATATAACGGCACTTTAAAAAGCCACGCACTGTTGGGTGGTCGGGACTCGACAATGGTTATTTTGGGACTATGCAACTATGCAATAAGTAGCAAATTTTGGAGCAATCCTAGTGTCACGATTAGATGTCCTGTGCTAGATCTAGGGTTTATTCAGATACAATTTTATGCTTTCTGTTGCTAGATACGGCTCTACCGACAATAGCGGTTGGTTTCTTCAAAATCGATCCACCGTTAATTTAACCATCAAATGGGTTTAACTTGGTGCGATGTACAATGTATTCATGGAACATTTACCGGCAATATCTTTTTGCCTGAAGATGTTTGAAGTGCATTACATATCAATGTATAAACGATGAAGAGGGCGCGAACGTTTCTTCATTGGATTCGGTTGTCATCCCTGTACGTCATGTAAGCTCCCACAGCGCATTTACCAACAGCATAGAACGCAAAATATCAATCTTATTGAATATTTCGCGACAGAATTTCGTCATCCGTCCTCGGTGGATCATTTTTAGTCGTAAACGGCTGTTGGAATTGAGTCATGAACGTAGGAGACCATTCTGCACAAGAGAATCGAGGTCTACCTAGCCCTGAATTAAACAACCAATAATTCGGCTTCATCGCTATCGCCCCCATTAATGTCAAATTTTGGAAGCAAAAGGTCCTGATAAAAACTGCACAACTAAAAGCTTCGTATTGCTGAACCAAAAAAGGAAGTTATGGCAAGCGACCTGTAATTTCCTGCGTTCCCTTCCAGAGAAAGATCAGGTTCAGGTACACTCTACTAGTCACGTATATCCCTGATTCAATAGGGGCCTCGTATATTGGCGACTGCTTACTTATTCCGGTTAATCGGCGTATTTGCTGGCAATAAGTCTAACCGCACACGTGCACAGTCAGCAAAATAGACCATTTTATAGACAGTTACGCGAGGAAAATGAACAGACGAATGTAACACTGGTGAGGACGATTTCAGATACGTGAAGGTATTAACGCTGAGTATTGTTTAAATCCTTGCAACCATTTTTTGTTCCTTCTGAGTATTGAACTGATGAAAACACGCTGCGGATTTGATGAAAAGCGTGAAAACCAGTCCCATAGTTAGCCTACTAAAACCTTGCACCAGGTGAGCTTACCCAGGCACTGTTGTGTGGGAAGCCGTTTCGACCTGATAATCAAATGGTGACGGATTCGGTATGTAATGCTGAATAGTAGCTGTACACATTGTGCAAATTACCGATGGGAACGCTTATCTTGGTCCGTGTTGGTGGGCGCCGAACGAAAAGGACATTCGAAAAGTCATAGGCTGCAGGAGACGATGATCATTGAGCGTAGTGAATTAAGGGAATCGATCACGGAAATTGATGTGAGCTGAGGATTTCCAGGTTTGTAGGTGCATTCTAAATGAAGGGGACAAGAATACCACCTATGCAAAGTGTGCTCCCGTGTTTACATTTGATTGCCACGAGATGTCAATTAAGCGTACATGGGAAGGATCCTTTGATGTCCCCAGCGTGCGCAGTGGGTCAAGGGCTCGCTTTTACTCAGCTGAATTCTACTGCGGTTAACCAGATCAAGCTTGGAATATAGATATTCCCAGCTGGTTAACCTACGGGGATTGAGGGATCTTTAATAGAACGAGAATGAAACTGTTTTCCGAACGGATAAACATTCAATTTCCCAAAATCGTCTGACAGTCTGTGAAATATTTCGTGGGAAAACCAAGGTGGGGTATATGAGCTGCATTAACGTTTCAAGCTTTAATAAATCATATTCCATTTGTGAAAAATCGAGATGCCGTTGGGTTTCGGGTCCAAATTTACGCAAACAGGCCAGGCTAAATATGGTCCTGTATGATTGCTTGACTCTTCGTGATATAAGTGTAGATTATGTTGGCTGACAGGAATGGGCCTAAAGTAAGACAAGCGGACTTAGTTTTCCTATATTTCGGCCATATCTCTCGTGAACTTGTGGAAGACATACACGATGATTTTCGAACATTATTCGATGCATCGTGAATATACAGGATCAGCCGGCGAAAACTTTGTGTGATTTCATGTCATTCAAGTGTAAATACTGAACGTTTCAAAGAGTGCAAAGAGTAACATAGCGAAAGTTGTCACCACTGATAAAATGCTGAAATCAATATTGATTGGTTTGACCACAATTGCACCCCAACGGTTCTAAATTTGGTACAGCTTCAAGAATAAACCGTATGGTATATTACTAAACTTATCGGTTTTTGAGGAGGTGGCTCTTGATCTATTCGCGGAGCTTAGCAGATAGCTTGCAAACGTTTCGTCACCAGAAAACCAACGTCAGCAACCAACAAGCTCACTCGAGCTACCAATATTTCAACATATTAGTAAACTTACTCGCTCGGTCGAAAAGGAAATTGTGTAGCCATACCGTCCAGTTCTGCGAGATCAGCCAGATAGAAGGGCGATTTCCTATACATCATTTGCACTTTCCTTGATTCCCCGTTCAAGCAATGGAAGTCACTCTCTTGAGTTTGTTCCTTATCAAACGGGTGATCCCATGACCCTACAGATTTGTTCAGACCACGGTTGAGCAGTGCAGCCACTTACCTCGAAAATACAACGCATTGGCTTGTAAGAACCTCGAGTCTTGGTCGAGAAAATTAGGCGGTAACAGTTCCTCAATTTTGTCCTTCGTGCTTTCGGCAACCCAGGTGTTATTGTGACATCTTTTCGCCTCTATATTTGGCAGTCCGGTTAGCTATATGCCACATGACAGTGAGAGAATGTTGGAGGAATATGATTACCAGCTCAAC